CTAGGGTTTTACAGCAAACCCTACTGTTGGGCCGAACTGCCTTAGCCTTGTTTCTCTCTGCTCTAGGGTTTGAAAGTGATCTTGCGGCAAGCCCTAGTGTTAGACTGAACCTTGCGATCTACCTAGAGCTGTCCTCAAGTTTGTTGTTAGCATTGATCAGATTTTAGGGTTTCATATTAACCCTACTGCAAGTCTATCTATACGGTACTGATTGGATTGTGCAACTGAACTGTTTAAGGACTGATTAAAAACCTAATTCTGCCAAGAATATCAGATCTACTTCTAAGCTGTTTTTCAGAGTCTTTTGGGGTTTCCGAACTCTCTTAAGGGGCGAGAACTCTACGGACAGCTGCTGTTGTGTTTGCTAGTTGGTTTCAGATCAGAGTTGTCCCAGTTGCAATGTGAAAGTTGTGAGTTTGCTAAACATTGTAGAAACTCTTAATCATTGAGTAATAAAAGGAGTAATCGTCCTTTTGATCTTGTGCATACGGATGTTTGGGGGCCATATCACATCCCTTCTATGGGTGGGTACAGATATTTTTTGTTATTTGTTGATGACCATACCCGGTTTTCTTGGGTTTATCTTATGCGTTCACGAGATGAGGTTCCCGCCCTGACCCAAACCTTTCACCAAATGATCCTAACCCAGTTTGATGCCAAGATCAGAGTTCTTAGATCTGATAATGCAAAGGAATACTTTGCTAAGCCATTGGCWTCTTACCTTCTTAATCATGGGGTTATCCACCAGAGCACTTGCCCTCATACACCTCAGCAGAATGRGGTTGYAGAAARRAAGAATAGGCACATCTTGGAGGTGGCTAGAAGTATTATGTTTACCTCCAATGTCCCTATTCGCTTCAAGGGTGATGCTATCCTCACAGCAGTATATCTTATTAATCGGGTTCCTTCCCGGGTTCTTGATATGTCATCTCCTTTTTCTCTTCTATACCCAGATGAGGAGTTGTTTACTGTTCCCCTCAAAACATTTGGTTGTACCTGTTTTGTTCAGCTTCTCGAACCCCATCACTCCAAGTTTGAACCAAAGGCCTCCAAATGCATTTTTCTTGGTTATGCACAAACTCAAAAGGGTTATTGCTGCTATGATCCTGTCTCAGGTAAAAGATTTGTCACCATGGATGTCACTTTCTTTGAGGAGACACCATATTATTCTTGGGTTTCTCCTCAGGGGGAGAGCAGTGTGAGTCAGGATTTGGGTCACTTTCTTCAGGGGGAGAGTAGTGCGAGTCGGGATTTGGGTCACTTTCTTCAGGGGGAGCACAGTGAGGGTAGGGTTCATACTTTTGGGGCTGTTCCCTTACCTATTCCGTTGGGTGATGAGGGCTACCATAGTGAGGGTGGTCAGAGGGATCAGGAGTTGAGGGTTTATCACAGGCGATGCAGGCAGGTTGATCCCGGTCATCAGTAGTCCAGGCCAGCTCCAATCTCTTTTGCGGCTCCAAGTCCAGGTATTACAGTCCCAGGGCCCACAGAGACCTCTTCCATTGTTGCCACTTCACCTCCTCCAAATGACCTTGACCTTCCCATTGCTGTCCGTAAGGGGAAACGGCATTGTACCACATCTACAACCCACTGTATTTTCCAGTTTTTATCCTATGATCGCCTATCTCCCTCCTACAGGTCCTATCTCACTTCCGTTGCTAATGTCCCTATTCCAAGAACAGTGCAAGAAGCCCTATCAGTCCCGGAGTGGAGAGGTGCAATGCAAGTTGAAATGGATGCCCTGTTGAAAAATAAT